TGCCAAGATGGTGGCAGGGTATGAATGCTCAGCAGCTGCATCCACACAATAGACTATAAATTGTCTCTGTCAATATTGCCAGTTAAAATATTCTTGCTCATCGTTGCTGTGAGACCTCTACCATTCGTGAAATAAGGATCACAGCTAGGGATTTAAGCCCCCAAACTGTTGCCTGCAGGACTACGCCAGGCGACAACATCTGATCTTCCAGCATGGATGTGCTGAGGTAGGATGGCCCATTTTCTTCAAAAAGAAAGCAAGCAACATTACCCTTCGGACTCACCTTAGCCTAACTTATGAGCCTAACATAGGGCTGGATTTACATCAGAAAGCCTAAATTCTATTTTAGCTTTTCCAGACAACTTTAGCTGTTTTTATTTTAGCTTTTCCAGACAGCTCGTATCTTACTTCAATCCAACACTTCTCCTTTTGGTGGTGTGTCCTCTTCACAAGTTCAGATTGGGAAGAGACACAGTCTGTCTAGCCATCCAGGATCCCTCAGAGCCAACTTGAATTTATTGCACCTAGAGGCCTCTTTCAGCTATGATCCAGAGCAGTTTGGTCAAAGAGAGGCAGGGAACGTAAACATTGCACAGCCCTCGAAGGCACTGCAGTGACAAAAACTGCCTTTGAAGCACCAATGTGTCTGTAGAAGGACAAAACCACAGCCCACTGGCCGTCTCTTCTCTACAAGTCCCTCTCGTCAGTCCAGCTTTGGGCTACGGGCTGAGGTGGTCGTTACAAAGTGTTCGGTCTGTGCAAAAACATCGACTGTAGTTTCTTCATCCCTTAACTCAGCACCATCTTTCAGGCCAGGGTTCCCATCTGGAAATGCTGTATCTGAAGATACTGAGCATACAGTTCTCCTTGTTTATTATTAATCTTCAGCCGTTCCCCGTATTCCCTGTTTGTCTGTAAATACTGTAAGTAAATAGGGAGAGCAATATTACAGACATGGATATAGTAGCAGAGGGACTCCAGCTCCACAGTGCCACCAGTTGGCATGGCCCCATCTTCCACATCAGAGGACGGGCACGTGGTGCACAGCCCGATCCCTCCCTACACGCTCCAGTACTCGAATCTCACAGAAAACCTGGCTGTAATAAAGTTCAGTTTTCAAATCTGTGAACTTGCACTGAATTCTAGTTAAATAGGAGAGATGGGTAGAAAACACAGACATGGTTTTGGGTAAAGCTAAACTTTGAAATCCAGCGGTATCTCATTACATCTGATTTTAGAAGGGGTCCTAAAAGCCACTGGAAAACTTTTGGAGACCAACAATGAAACATAAGACGACACAATTAAATCTATTTTAAAATTCACAAGTGCTGTCCGCATTTCTAACCCCTTACCACAGATCCAGGGCTTGATCCTACAAAAATTCACAGGTGTGACTCCGTCACTGTGAGCGACCCACTGAAACTTTCTGAACTACTGGAACTGCATTTCCCTGCGGACCTGCGTCACGTCCCTAGGCTAAGACCTGGGTTACTCGGCACAAAGCCCAGCAAAGACACTTCTCCCAGACCTTGGCTCAAAGTGACATCCAGAGGTACGGTACAGTTAATTTGAAGCCACTTCAGGGCTTTCCAATCCAGGAGCAAATCTGTTACCTGAAGGGTGCCACAGTCTCTATCGCAAGCCAAAAAACCCCAGAAGCTAGAGGCATTCCTCTGGTAGAGCGAATCCCAACCACATCTGCCTTACCCAGTCCACACCTACACTAATGACATGTAAGTGCAGTGAAGTGGGAGTTACTACAGGAGATTGCACCCTACGTAGCACCTGACAGTAAAGCAACCTCCCTCTACCAACTTCGTTAACATTAAGGCAAAATGGGTCAGCATAGCAGCTTCCTTAATACAGAAGGGGATCTGGCATTTCAGTCCAGGTTCTTTGGCAGATTATTATTTAAGAAAGAAAAAACACAGATGCATATCTAATATTTTAAAGTCTAATTTTAAAATCTATTTAGAATTGTTCTAGTTAGCAAAAATGATGTAATAGTGACCATTCTTGCAGTAAATCTAGCTCTTCAGAAGGTGATCTGTAAATTCAGGAAAAAAATAATCTATTCAGAAGGAACAGTAAACATTAAAATTAAGGCAATTAATCACGATGACCTTATTTTTAAAATTGGTAAAATACGGCGGAAGGGTGAGAAGAGGAAAACAAGCGAGCTGTGAAAGACAATAGCTAACAGGCAGCAGGAAAAGCTGCCCAGAACAAATGCTTTTTTAAAGACATACATAGTGCCTATGCATGCACTTAAACATGTCAGACAATCTTCAAAGTAATCTCCCAGTGTGTGTAAAAGCCCATTATAGCATACAGCTAGCGAAGGAGCCAGCATAGTGTGGGAGCCCCTTGCTTTACGCAGGCACGCGCCGCGCTGCACACTTTGCATTCCCCAGGACCTCTGTCCGTCTGCCACTCGGATAATCACTGCAGGCAGAATACATTCAAAAGTAGCCTCTCCTCAAAACAGCTATATCGTAGCTATACAGACATGGAGACAGCAAGAAAATGAAAACTCTGGAATTAGGGCCAAGGAGCCTACATACACTGAGGCAGGGGAGCGGTGAATGTTTTCCATCATGAACTATTCAATGGGGAGCTTAAACAACATGCTCCTGCTCCCCACTGCTCAGCCTTCACCCAGGAGTCCCCAGAAGCGGCGCTGGTCAGAAGGTCTTTTAGGAAACCGTCCAAGAAGGTGTCTGTCTTCCCCTTCCCTTTCTGTCTACCTTCCACTCCCAGGAAGGAGACACATACACACATGCTCAAATATATATAAATGCCTATGCGTGTGTGTGTGAAACAGTCCACAAGGGCATCCGGAACAGTGGAATTCAGCTCTTTTTTAACTGCTTGTATTGGTTGGACTTGTACTTGATAACTTCCACACTAGCTCAGTCATC